TCACGATATGGTTGTACATAGTGTAGTAAGAATTTGTTTTCATGTCTGCATTTGGAAATGAGCTCTGATCTTTTGTTTAGGAGTTTATCTTATTTTAGAAAGGTGATTATAGCTATTTCCTCATCTATGCCAATGTTCCATTGTTTTGAGTTGTTGTATGCTGGTAATTTTTTTTTTTTTAAATTATTTTCCATATTTGTTTTAGTGTGTTTTGATTTGTGACTTTGAATTGCCATATATTTTTGTGTTAGCATATATTCTTGTGCTGTTAACATATTTTTGTTGCTAAATGATGTTTTGTGTAAGTAGCTTCTCTACTTCCAGAAATTTTCTGTCATTCCTATTTTTTCTGGTTTCCTTTGAATATAATCGTAGATTCTTACATATTGTTGATACCTCCCTGACGAGTGGACGGAGTGTTTGTTGGAAGGTCCGTCTACGAAACTTTGGAGTCGGGACGCTGAAGGTAACACTAATCAGCTAAGTGATAAACTTGATATCTGTATTAATTCTCCCTCTCTCTCTCTCTCTCTCTCTATATATATATATATATATATATATATATATATATATAATTTGGATAAAATATGGATTAGAATCCGGCATAATGATAGAATAAGAAAGAAATCTTGCAAATATATCGATTTCGAAACTGACTTTGGACAATTTCTGGCGGAATTTCCTTCTTAACTGAAAATGATTATTCGTAATTTAGAAAAGTCAATCAATAAAATTAATCGATACAAATGTCTGTTGTCTTTAATTGCATCTACCTTAAAGAACATTTGCTGCCTAACACACTATTAAATTTTATATCTATAAAATAGAAACTATAAAAAAAAAACACGATTGACCGTGCCAATATCCAGCATAAAAATATTTGAAGAAGTTGCTGTCGCTAATGTGAAAAAAAGATGCAGAATATTAAAAACATAACTACCACTTTTAAGAAAACATCACTAAGAGAAACGTTGCAAGTTGATCGAAGAAGTGCATGACAACTGATTTCGCAACAATAATTTTTAATGGTGACTGTAGAGCTGATATCTTAATTAACGATAACCGATTCTCTGTCCTTTCGCAATACTACAAATCTAGGTAATTATATCAAAGTAATTGTTAAAAATATGTTATTTCTCTGTTGGGATCACTTCTGGCAACATAGAAAATTGTTACACGCACCCACGCAATATATATATATATATATATATATATATATATATATATAATTATTTATTTAAAAATATGATTCCAAATCGCGACATAAGAAGTCCCATGTTTCAAAACAAGAGCCGAAAACTTCAATATAATTATTTAAATTAAATTGAGTTAAAAAGCTCTGTTCCATCTTTCGCTTGAAGATGGAACAGAGCTTTTTTTGAAACATGGGACTTTTTATGTCGCGATTTGGAATCATATTTTTAAATAAATAATTATATTTATGCTCTACTTTTGTATCGAGCACTAATTTTTAAAAATAATAACTAAAATACTAAGGGACTTTGGATTATTTACCTAACCAGTTCCTTCCTATTTTCTATATATTTTCATATATATATATATATATATATATATATATAATGAAAAAAAATATAGTTATAAAGTATGTTATATTTATAGGTAAAAGTGCAATTTCAGAATCAGAGTATATGTAAAGATAAAAGTGGACACTGAGGTCAACACCGAACGGTGACAGTTTGTTTCATGCTGGAATGCAATCTCCAGGCCATGTGTGTTGTATTTTGGCACGACTATTTATATTTACTGGTCAATGATGTATTATAGAAAGCAAGATCTATTGTAATATCCTAACAGTTATTGTTTCGGCAGTAACGGTTATATTTCAAATTATTCTAGAGTAGAAATCATTGTGAATTTGAGTGCGGTTATTTGTAGTTGTTTATTTACTTTTTTTTAACACATTTTACAAATATATACATATATATATATATATATTTCCTTTGTAAATCACTAGCGGGTCTTAAATGCCACTTAAGATTATCGCATAAACTTTCATAACTGAATCAATAAGCTGGCAGATCCTCATAGGTCGAAACTGACGGGAGAGTCCATTATTATTATTATTATTATTATTATTATATATATATATATATATATATATATATATAGTTATTTTTAGTGGAAACATGCATCAGAGTAGACGCTTTTTTTATTTTTTAAACAGTTTAAAAATAAACGGAGCTCAAATATATACGCGTATCCACTAAAAATAACGTTTGACTAAATAAAAATATATTGTATTAAAAAATGCAAACCATTAATTAGAAAAATATCATGCATATATCTCTATATAGTTTTTTTTTTTATTTTTGTTAGGAGGGGGGCGCTTTTTAAAAACAGTCCCTCCTAACAAACCCAGTAAACCAAAAAAATATATTGTCTTGGGAACTAACCCTATCACACACACGCACGCACACATCTCTCTCTCTCTCTCTCTCTCTCTCTCAAAAGCGTGAAGGCCAGTGTCACAAACTCATATCCATACAACTGAATATATATATATATATATATATATATATATATATATATATATATATATAACACGTTATGTGTATCATACATATAAATTAACGATAACACAGTCACAGCGCATGCAATGAAAACAGTAGGCATAACTTTTATCACATCGGAAATGCAACTGAATACATTTATTATCAACTATATCACTTACACTTATTGCATTGGCACATTTTCCCTGTTGCTTTGTATCGAGGCCTTAAAATGCGTGCCTAAAGTTCAGACATAAAATCACTGTTCTATCTCTTTCATTTGTTTATGCATGTTAATGGAACCAATTATTTTCTGTTTATTCATTTTTTTTTTTCGAAATATTGTTGACGAATAATGAAATACATATGGAATTAATAATGTCTGTTAATAAGCAGTGGGGATGGAATGAAACTGTCAAATTTGACTCATGATATCTCCTGATTCAAACATACCCGTTTGACCTATTGACGTGATTCAATTTCTACATCACCTAGGGTTCATAACAACACCCTCTGCACCCCCCATCTCTCTTTCTCGCGCACACGCACACGCACACACACACACATACATACAGACACACACATGTGTGTGTGTCTGTGTGTGTTTGTATAAACAAGGTGGTGCTGAAAAGTTCACGGCCTGACCCACTTCCCAACTTCAGTATTTCAATGACCAAACATCAAAATTTGAAAGCAAAGGTTAAAGAAACTTGAGAGACAATGTGCCAAGTGTGTTGAACTGCGAGGGGACCATGTTGATTAAATGTAAATTTTATAGCCCTAGGCCGGACCGAAAACGCTTAAGCAGTACTCGTTTGTGGGTGTATATATATATATATATATATATATATATATATATATATATAGATAGATAGATAGATGTAAAATAAAAGCGAATATTATTTTTGAATTAAACTCTATCTTGATTCGAACGTTCTACCAAAATCTAAACATACCAATAAGACAGTATACTGATGCTCATATATTTGGGTAAAAATAGCTTTGTAATACTAGCTTCCTACTATTATATATTTTTAACGATTTTTATTATTTAAATATGTCACTTATATTTAATTATTTTTTAAAAGTAATTTTGATACTATAGTTTCTATATAAATTTTATTTGTCGTTGTTTTAAATAAGTTTACTCATTTAAAAGAAAACTGTTATATAGGAATAAAGTGTTGTTACCTACACTTGAGTTTGAACATAGATCGCCAGTGAGTAAACACAGGCGATCCCATTATTGAAGTAAGTAAACCACGTGACCATAGAGGGAACGCATATATGGGAGGTAGTGTGTGCCAAATTGATCTGCATTTCTAATCTATCCTCTATTACCATTCGGATCATCATTTCTATTCTGTCTTCTATTAATATACGGACCGCTATTCTCTACTCTATTCACTATACTTGTCGAGCGAATATTATCGAGCAAGTACTATAAGTACGAGTGCTACTCGAAGTCGCCTGACACACTAGTTGTATCGGCGATTATAAAGCCTCTACTGTAACGAGCTTTTAAGAAATTGACAACGAGTATTTGTTGACTTTACAAAAGTGGCAACGTGTGTTCGTTGACATCACTAAATAAATTCATTTAAAACAAAGAACATTTAATTTCAAAATTTTATTTGATTTTTATTACATTTTTACAAGGCAGCTGTCTTTTCGCCTTTCCTTAAATTTCTATGCCACAGTTGTTTTTAACAAAATCATTTTAATGATATTATAGTGTTTTAGGTATCAATAGGTTTCGTTTTTTACTAGACGATTAACTGATTTGTTTTTTTACGGCTTATCAACAATTTCCATGTTATTTAAATTAAAAATTATTATATTTTTTAGAATAATGATTTCGCTAGATACAAGCAATAGAGTACTAAACTGTTGCGTGATATATGTCCTTCTGTATGACAGTGAGTCCTGGAAAATCTACTCAAAAATGAAGAAGTGACTTGAAGCAACAGAAATGTGGTTCTACAGAAGGATGGTGAGGATACCATGGACCGAACATGTGAGAAACGACGATGTTTTAGACAAAATTGAAAAGAAAAGGAAACTTATAAATGCTTAACACTAGGAAGAGACAGTTGAAATTACTAAGGCACAAAATGAGGAAAGAGGGCTTGGAAAATCTGATACTCGCAGGACAGATTGAAGGCAAGAGAGAAAACAATCCATAACATACTTAGTAAATGGATGATTGAACAGGGTTTAGGGGAAATAACAGAAAGACAAAATTCATTAAGTGCTGCAAAGAGCAGGAAGTTGTGGAGAGCTAGGATCACCTACGTCCTGAAGAGACACAGCACGTAAAGAAGAAAATACAAGTCTAATTAACCCATAGCTGAGGAGGAGAAGAGGTGGATCTGTACCTTTCCCAAGGATATTTGCACCAACAAGAATATAACGAATCGGACTGGAATTGAAACTCGGCTATCCGATCTCCGATTCTGAGTCGTTCATTGCACCACCCATACAGCCATGCTTGCAGCACCTGGTATTCCCAAGCTGTCACTCATCTAGATATTGACCAGGCTCAATGTTGCTTAACTTCGGTGATCGTACGAGAATCGTTGTTTCAACATGCTATAGCCGTAAGCCTCTAACAAAATGAAAAACAATTCTTTACGTTTTTATTATACTTAAACTGGAGTGTCGTCGCTGTAATTTTCTTTGAATTTTTCTTACACTTTCAGCATGTAAATATAACTTTGGACATACGTGTGGCGTAACGGTTAATAGTATTGAAAATGGGATCATCGAGATGAGTTCAAATTCTGGCAGTGTACTTCACAAAAACGTCTTTAAGAAAAGCATGAATCGTTCCCTTTTCTGCACTTGCTATAGGAAAAATAGTAGGTCTCTAGCTTTGATTGGCAACTCGTTTAAAAGACAAATCTGAATATTAAACCATAATTGCAATCCACTCCCTCTCTAGCTATAGATAAAAACAAAAAAAGTATGAGATGAGGCCCGTTGTACCTCACTCCTCTTATAAAAAAATCTACTTGCTAAAACAGAATCAATAGGCAAACTAAAAAATCAATCGGACCCAGGATCCAAGAAATATATCTTTGTCAATTATCGAATAGCACATTTTCATACAAAAAAATAAAAAAAATAAAAATTTAAAAAAAATACTAGCAATACATTTTTTAAAAAAATAAATTACCTGGAACAGATTTTTCTAAAAGAAAAAAAAATTACCAGCATTAGATTTTTGTAAAAAAAGAAAAAATACTCAAGCTCACAAGAAAAAAATGAATTTCAGCATTAAATGACCCATAAGTAGTTGATATGTCGTTAAACAAACAAACAGATAGAGAAGAGTCTCGAAGCGACAGGAGTGTGCTTCGACAGGCGGATGAAAATCCCACGGACAGGGCACGTGAGCAAAGAGGAAGTTCTAAAGAAAATGAGAAAGAGAAAAAAACTTATACTCAAAATCAGAAAGTGATAGTTGAAATTTCTAGAACACATTATGAAGAAGGCTGGCTTGAAAAACTTAATACTCACAGGGCATCAGCATTGGTTTGGTTTCGTTTGTTTTACGGTATATCAATCTCAATGGTTTATTTTATGCCAAGATTTTTATTACTGGTAATACTTTGTTCCAAAATGTATTGCTGGTAATACTTTTTTCCAAAATGTATTGCTGGTAATATTTTTTTCTTTAAAAATCTATTGCTGGTAATATTTTTTTCAAAAAAGTGTTGCTGGTAATATTTTTTTTAATGAATTGCTGGAAATAATTCTTCAAAAATTCATTGTTGGTAATAAATTATTACAAAAATGTATTGCTGGTATTAAAACCTATTTTTACATTTTCACAGTGTTTTGACCCTAGTTTGTCCATAGCTAGGACCCTAACATGTGCTACCACCCCGGGTCAGGGTGGACCTGGGAATACCAGCAATTAAGAGGTGGTTCCTCGCTCCTCAAAACCTCCTAATTAGGGAGGTGTTGCTGTTGTATGTAGTTTATCGTCTTTCCCAGGACTCCTCTTTTTTTTGGGGGGGGGAGGGTCTTACCTCTCTGCAGAGATGCAATCGGCAGATTCTGAAATCCCAGCCGACAGTACGGATTAAGGAAGAAGTGATAGAGGGAAGCAACGAGCAACTTACTTAATGAGTTTGTTTGAATGAGGAGGAGATGGCAAGGAGGAATGGTAAAGAGTTAAACGTGGCTTAGATCAACGAAGGATAGGAAGTTGTGGAGAGCCATAATCCTTCACGTTGGGTACATAAATGATGATGACCCATTTTACATGCAATACATAGCCTTTTGAACTCGTGTTATTAACTACAGTCATCAGGAAAGCCTTGATTCTTCTACTTCATTACTGTTGGTAATGGTAATATTAGCCGTTTCCCTACAAGGAAACTTTTGAAATTCATTGACCGAGCAGCCAGTAGTGCTCTCGGTTGAAATTTATAAAATCATTCTCTTAAAACAATTTTTCATGAAAATAGATTTCTCAAGTCGGGTAGCTGTTATCGCTCTTTTCAGTATTTGGGGGGGGCTTCCAAACTTTTTATTTTAAGTAGTGTAGAACGTCAACAGCTTGATGATGTAATTATTTTCTATTCGAATTACACGTTCTATCCATTTGAGTTGTTGCTGCTGTTGGTAGTCATGAAGTGATGTGGTTTCAATTATTTTGGTACAGTTCTTTGTGGTTCTCTAGTGTCAGTTCACAAAAATAACTTTCTTCCTAATATTTTGCTTCATGTGGAACGTCAACATTTGGATTATGTTATTATTTTTTTTGTTCGAGTTACACGTGCTATTCATTTGTAGTTGTTGCTGCCGTTGGTAGTCCTCAAGTGATGGAGTTTCTGTTATTTGTTGCAGTTCTCTGTTTGTGATTCTGTAGCGCCAGACCACAATGTTCAAGACTCTCAGACTTCATGCGCTCAAAGTCATTTTTGACCATTGATCTTAGAAAGTGGTTCTATACAACAGTTAGACAGTTTAGATTATTCTGAACGGGTTTGGTGACATGCGTGATATCCATATGAAAATCCCGATCTGACGAGGCTATTTAAAAAAATGGCTTGATTTTCTAACAATATGGGGGTCGGATAACTAATGTCTGGCTATATCCCATTATACGAGTCTCGTGCCAGTGTTAAATTTGGTTTGGTTTTTGTTTTACGGCATATCAACCTCAATGGGTTATTTAATGTCGACAAAATTTTTATTGCTGGTAATGTTTTTCTTCCTTGAACAAATCTATAGCTGGTCATATTTTTTCAAAGAAAGTATAACTGTTTGTATTGCTGGTATTTTTTTAAAGTATTGCTGATAATAATTTTTCCTTAAAAATTATTGCTGGTAATAATTTTTTCATTACAAAGTATTTCTGATATCTATTTCTGATAGATTTATTGCGTGTTAACTATTTGCCCATAGCTGGGACCCTAACAGGTGCTACCAGGGTGGACCTGGGAACACTAACAATTAAGAAGTGGTTCCACTTGTTATAAAATAAAATAAGACATATCTCGGCTGATTTGCAGGCAAATAAACTAACATACTTAAGAGCGAGAACCGGATGTGAACGGGACAAGGCCCCGTCACAAAATGACCATTATCGTCGTTTACGCATAAGCCCGACGCACGAGTTCCGGTCGAAAAATAAAATAATATTTTAAAGTGTTTCTATTTTTCGACCAATAAAAATGCTTCCCTCCTAATTATACTCGCGTCGTTTTTCGAGCCTGTTAAGCCCCCCCACCCAAAAAAACGCCAAAGAAGGGGTCACACGGGGAAGTACAACAGCAGTCAACAGGAGGCCAGGGAAGAGACCTGTCACGGTCAGTCAGCAGCAGTCCAGTCAGCAGGAGGAGCACCACGCCAGCCAGTGTGAACTACTATGGGAGATCAACGCAGACCGGGAGCCGGCTTATGAACTATACCACAAGGTAGCTATCCCAAACCCACACGTTCCTATTGAAATAAATCACGTAAATCTATTTCTGCAGTTGTCGGATTTCTTTCTTGCAACCATACGCTTGTCTATAACACTGGTGTCAGGAGTGGGATTCGAACCCACGCCCACATTCGTGGACCAGAACACTCTTCAAAACTTCCTGATCACAGGTCTTGCTGTTGGACGTAGTTTATCGTCTTACCCAGGACGCGGATGTAGTTTATCGTCATACCCATGACGAAGTGTTAAAGTTGGAACCGACGGCTTAACGTGTAGATATTTTCCTGTTAGAAACATTTGCCGCATTTTGTCCCACCACCTGTTACTGATTGTTCGTGACATTGACAGAACCACAATTCTATTATCCATTTTTCAAGGGACGATATGGCGTTAATCACTTCTGCAGAAACAGAAATTAGTCCCTAAATAGAATTGCGATTAGTCGGAAGCGAGAAGTGAGCGAAACACTTGTATTTAACTATAGGTTAATTAGTAGGACTTGTATCAGTAAAAGATTAGTGTCTCAAAAAATTCTTACAATTTAGAATCATTTTCCGGCTTTAAATAACTTGCAAAAGGTTTATAAGTAATAAAATCAATCAATCAATCGAACTTTTATTACACTATCAAGGATACACTGGCGGCACAAAGTGCAGAAGAAGAAATTGAAAAGGTTTTATTGTACGCTAGTAAACGCCAAGATGCAATGTAACTTCTGGAGAGCACCTCTCCGCGGCTGCTCGGTCTCACGTTGACTGCTGACCTGAGATGAAACAAATACATTGAGTCAATTGCGTCGTCCACCGCAATGAAAGTTGGATCCCTGTGCCGCGCCAGGAAATTTTTCTCCCCGGAATCGATCCTCCAGATCTACAAACCAACAATTCGCCCTTGCATGAAGTATTGCTGCCATATATAATCTGGAGCTCCTTCTGTTTGCCTCGGGGTTCTTGATAGGCTCAAGAGGCGGATATGCAATATAATTGGCCCTGTTCTGGCATCTCGTCTACAGTCGCTCTCTCACAGACGCGCCGTCGCCTCTCTCTGTCTTTTTTACAAATACTTCCATGCCAATTGCTCCGAGGAGCTGCATTCGCTGGTTCCCAGACTTCCTGAGTTCAAGCGCCCTACGAGGCTGGCATCCCACTCTCACCCTTTCACTGTCGAAACTCCTAAATGTAGCCGTCTCTTCTACTCCAATAGCTTCATGTCTCGCACCTCTTGCCTGTGGAACTCCCTTCCCTATTCCAGTTTCCCTGAGAGCTATAATCTCCAACTATTCAAATGTAATGTCAATCGACACCTCCAGTTGCCTTGATCTATCCACTATCCTTCTCCTCATCCTTTCCTCTATCACTCCGATCTGATCTTACTCCAAATCTTCTGTAACCCCTTGCGTTCTAGTGGCTTCTCGCCTTGCTTGGGGTGAAGCGCTTAAAAAAAAAAAAAAAAACTCGCAAGAAATTATAATCACCATGGGAGATGTGAGACTTAAAACAACAAAAATGTTGTTCTACAGAAGGATGTTGTGTATACCATAGACCGAACCTGTGAGCAACAACGAAGTTTTAGAGAAAATGTAAACAAAAAGCACATTTTTAATTAACACCAGAAAGAGGCGGTTGAAATTGCCAGAGCACAACAACGATGAAAGGAGGGGATT